GGCCTTAACTTTGTCATGCAGGAAATCTGAAGTTTTTCTTTGTACTTGCGCACTTCCCACCTTCTGTCCAGAGAAGCAGGAGGCATGATCAGAGTTCATTGGCATTAGTGACATGGTTAGAAGGGGTATGCAAAAATGTTTAAAAAGAAAAGGTGGGAAAGACCAGAGTAATATTATGTCAAAGGTATATAAAGTGGTATAAGGGATTAAGACATGAAGATCAGGTAAAAAATGATGTGGAAAGAGAAGAAAAATTAGAGACATAATAGGTCGAAACGTATAATTATAAATGAGGTTTGACAGAGGGTCAGAATTTGCTGAACTTGATTGAACAAAGGGGAACACAAAAAAGGGAGATGTGAGGAAGTCAGGAAAGAGGGTTATAGAGTTATGAAATTAAAAAATTGGGGTTTTTTTTTTCTTCTTTTTTCTTTCTGGGTATATCTGTCTTTGTTGTATGCCTGTTTTACTTATGTTTTTGTTTTGTAAAATCTTAATAAATATCTTTTTTTAAAAAAAAACAGAGTTCATGCGCACATTGCTGCCAGGCAGAAGTGTTTGAGGAGGGGCGTGGCCTGGAGGAGGAGGGGCGTGGCCTGGGGAGAGTTCCGAGGGCCAGGCAGAGAGATGCAGAGGGCTGAGCTTGGCCCCCAGTGTCTGAAGTCCCTTCCCACCACCTCCTCTTCTGTTTCCTTTTCAGTTCGAGCTGAACCCCGACCTTAACTGGACGCAAACACGGATGCTGGAGATCGCCAGCCACATGGATGGGGTGAGTGGCTGCCCTAGGCAGATGTGGGTGGCGCACGTGGGAATTGTAGTTTGACGACGTCCTTGGACTCCAGTTCCCATCAGCTAGTATGGCTGATTGTCATGGATTATGGGAGTTGTAGTCCAAATCCTCTTCCAGGTTAGGGGAGGTTGGCTAGGCAATTCTCTGTTGAGTTTCCCCTGACGCCAGGCAGCTTCATATATATTGGGGAACTGTCTTTGCTTTTTAAAAGACATTTCTCCAAATGCTTCAGTGTTTACCTCACACGGAGAGTAATTTTGGGGAGAGCGCGGCAGGGAATTTGCAGCTTAGGACCCAAGAACCTTAAGGGCTGCTGATTCCTTCAGCTCTGCCTTCTGGGCTGAGGTCTTCTGAGGGGACGCTTTGATGGCCGACGCTCCTGAGGGCCGGCTGGACTTTGCCGGGGCAGAGCCTTTTGTATGGCAGGGTCCTGACCTATGGAAATCCCTTCCCACTAGAGTTTCGACAAGGGACGCAGGTGGCGCTGTGGGTTAAACCACAGAGCCTAGGACTTGCCGATCAGAAGGTCGGCGGTTCGAATCCCTGCGATGGGGTGAGCTCCTGTTGCTCGGTCCTGCTCCTGCCAACCTAGCAGTTCGAAAGCACGTCAAAGTGCAAGTAGATAAATAGGTACCGCTCCAGCGGGAAGTTAAACGGAGTTTCCGTGCGCTGCTCTGGTTCGCCAGAAGCGGCTTAGTCATGCTGGCCACATGACCAGGAAGCTGTACGCCTGCTCCCTCGGCCAATAAAGCGAGATGAGCGCTGCAACCCCAGAGTCGGTCACGATTGGACCTAATGGTCAGGGGTCCCTTTACCTTTTACCTTCCAGATGATTAACCCAAGCCATGAAAACAGATCACTGATATGAACTGTAGAATTGTATTTTTATACAGCTTTACTGTATTACTGATGCTTTAAATAGTTCTGATATTTTCTATATGTTGTTTAGTCGTTTAGTCATGTCCGACTCTTCGTGACCCCATGGACCAGAGCATGCCAGGCACTCCTGTCTTCCACTGCCTCCCGCAGTTTGGTCAAACTCATGCTGGTAGCTTCAAGAACAGTATCCAACCATCTCGTCCTCTGTCGTCCCCTTCTCCTTGTGCCCTCCATCTTTCCCAACATCAGGGTCTTTTCCACGGAGTCTTCTCTTCTCATGAGATGGCCAAAGTATTGGAGCCTCAGCTTCAGGATCTGTCCTTCCAGTGAGCACTCAGGGCTGATTTCCTTAAGAATGGATAGGTTTGATCTTCTTGCAGTCCATGGGACTCTCAAGAGTCTCCTCCAGCACCATAATTCAAAAGCATCAATTCTTCGGCGATCAGCCTTCTTTATGGTCCAGCTCTCAAGTAATTAAAAAATTTCCAAAATAAATAGATAAATAAATATACATCTCCTTTTTGTGGATCCCGCAAAGGGAGAGCTGACCACTCAAGAATGTTGATACAGAAAATGCATGACCTCAAGTTTAAGTCACATATTCCAATTCTTCCCAAAAGTTCAATTCTAAGGTTTAGGCTTTGAGCTGAACTACATCAAGTAAGCAAGAAGAGCCCCTGGATTGTGATGAAGAGGCAGAACTCAGGAAATGCATTTGCTTCAGAGTGGGTAGGACATGAAATGGGGGTGTGTGAGTGTTCCTCTTCACTCAGGAAATATATTAGGTCTAATTTGAGTGGCCCTGAGTTACTGGAAGCAAGTGGGGGCACACATGCCCCATGCAAGGATAGCTTCCTCCACAAGTCAGCCAATTCTATCCTCAGAAAAACCCTTGACTAGGTAAGCCTATAATGCTTAACACAAATCGTCCTTAGGGGGGGAAACGCCCAACATCTCACATTTCCAGTGTGGTGTAGTGGTTAAGAGGCGGTAGTCTCGTATCTGGGGAACCGGGGTCGCGTCTCCGCTCCTCCACATGCAGCTGCTGGGTGACCTTGGGCAGTCAACACTTCTTTGAAGTTGTGGGGGAGGAAGGGAAAGGAGAATGTTAGCTGCTTTGAGACTCCTTCGGGTAGTGATAAAGAGGGATATCAAATCCAAACTCTTCTTCTTCTTCTTCTTCTTCTTTGAGAGAAAAAAGAATGGAGCTTTGATACTCCAGTCCCATCTCTGTAGTGCCTCACACTGTCAAGAGCCCAGCTCTTCAGGAAGGAGAGGAATCGTGTGCCTTGGTGGTCTCTCAACCCCACTGCTTATGGAACACTTGAACAATCTGCTTCCTAGGCATGCGGGCACTCTGTTCCTAAAGCGGTACTTCAGTAGAAGCACTCTAAAAACAGTTTAAGTCTCTGTTTATTATTTATACTATAGGAAACAAACCTTTTCTTTTTTCTGTTCAACAACGCCCTTCCTTGCATAAATCAAACTAAGCTTTTCTTTGTCTTTTAAGAACCGTCGCCTCAGTCTCAGAATCTCTGATCGTTCATCTATACCTAAGCAACAGAGAAGGAAATTTCTTTTTTAACTTATACATAAAGCTACTTTTTAATAACTTGCATACAACACTTTCCTAATTAAACAATGGGGTGGGAAAGTCTCACCCATAATATCATTTTTGATTTCGATGACATATGAACCCTTTGATTTAAGAACTTTCCTAATGTAAGGGCTTAAACTCTTGAAACCAATTTCTTCTGGTTGCTTGAGCAAAACTCATGTGTGATATTATGTAATTTGCTTAGCCTTAGATAATAAAGAAGGCTTCTTCTAGCTAAGGATGTAAGGGAGAAATCTCCATTAACAGCTGTGGTACCTTGAGCTTTACTGTCCACCTCATCACCGGGCAAACCCAGCCTTTTCTCTCCGAAATTAGGACCTATAGGTTTGAAGGCGGTTCTGTGTGATTTGTCAGCTCGTTTGTTAATGAACAACAATGAAGATGACAGGGATTCAGAAGATGAAGGAAATCTGTATTCTGAAAAAGTGTCAACGCTGTTTCCTATCAGCCAGTTGAAAGAGCTTCTCACACCTGAAATAATAAGAAAGCATTAATAAACACATCTCTTTCCACTTAATATATGTTGCCCCCCTCCCCGCCTCTACTATTCTTTTACTTGCCTAAGTTATAACCAGAAATAAATGTTAAAGAAACAGAATATCAGGGGAAGGTTCAGTATGAAAACTGAAATACTTAATATTTTTAGTATATGAGGCCAAAAGATTTTACACACACACCAACAAACAAATACAAAAGTATATGCAAGTACAGTGGTACCTTGGTTTCTAAATGACTTAGCTGATGAACAAATCGGTTCACGAATGCTGCAAACCCAGAAATAAGTGTTCTGGTTTGCAAATGTTTTTCGGAAGCTGAACATCCGTTTCGGCTGTCGACATTGTTTCTGGGGCCAATCAGCCAATTGCAAGCCGCACCTTGGTTTTTGAACGTTTTGGAAGTCGAAAAGACTTCCAGAATGGATTGAGTTCCAGAACCAAGGTACAAACCTCCATACACACAAGTTTTGAATACACATGGAAGCATGAATTCCACACACAAATCCTTTTAAGTTTTTCATTAAATACTACTGCTTCAGGAAAACTTACTGGCATTTTGTGTAGGAGTAAATTCGTACTGTTGCTGTGTAGCCCTTATCTGGCCACCCAGAGATCCTTCCTGTGAGCGATACCTGTTGGCATCCTGGAAGCTTGAGGACTCCGCAAACAAAGGGGTAAGAACAGTACTTCGGTACCGCCAACTTGAGTCAATAGCAAAATCCTAGAAAGTAAAAAACAACAACCCAGTGCTGAGACCATCTTTGCCCACTGAAGTCATCAAATCTGATTCAGCTGAAATACCACTAAGCTCAGTGGGACAATGGAATAAATGTGCCTAGGATAGGTTTACATATGAAACTATTAGACAAAATCTTAATGTAGTTCTTTGTTTTAATATTTAGCTGGAAGTTGCCCAGAGTGGCTGGGGAAACCCAGCTGGATGGGAAGGATTATAAAATTTTGCCCCCATTAGTCATTTATTTTTAAACTGGTGTCATTTCCTAACCCAAATTCCATTTTTTCCTCTGATTTCTATCCATTTCATTTTATAAAAATATCCTCCTTTCCCAATGTAATCATCAAAATGACTTCCTCAGTTTACATCTAATAAAGTATGAAACTGACCAATGTAAATTACAGCCAAATAGCTACTCAATGGATTTTACTGGCTCTGGACTAAAGGGTGATGGATCCTGAAGACTACCCCACAATTCTATATAAAATACATAAGAAGAGCCTGCTGGATCAGGCCAATGGCCCATCTATGCCAACATCCTGCTCTCCCAGCAGCCAACCAAATGTCACGGGGAAGCCATAAAACAAAAATAAAATAAAGATATACAAATAAATTCACCTGAAATTTGCATTCCGAAAGTGGATACTCAAACATTTTTCTGGAGTAATCTGGGCTCTTGCTGGTCATCTCAAGCAGAAAATTCGTAGCCAAGCTCAAATACTGAGTTTCAATTTTGACAGAGTACAAAGAGCTTAACAAAGTCAACATTCGATCAAGGGTATTGGCTGGTAGCCTAGTTTCATCACTCCAAAAGTTCCTGACAATTATTCTGTAAAAGGAAATACAGAGCATAGTACAACAATGGCAAGCTCAATAATGTTTTGTTTATTAAGCCATTATCACCATAAATGGCTCAGAGTTACCCCCACATGAACACACCCAGACCCTGAAATCATCCTATGAGGTCCTTCTTTGTGTACCAACTCCACGAGAGGTCCGGGGGTAGCAACACGAGAATGGGCCTTTTTTGCAGTGGCTCCCCACTTGTGGAATGCCAACCGCAGGGAAGTTCGGCTGATGCCATCATTAGGCACCAGGCAAAAACATTCCTCTTCAACCAATGCCCTTTTAAATCTGTTGTGGGAGGGAGGATTATTCATTTGTTGTTCTTATTTTTATTATGTATTCTGTGTTTTTTATATTGTAATTTTATGCTGTGAAGCACCCCAAGATCTATGGATGAAGGGTGGTATACATATTTAATAAAACAAAACAAATATTGCAAAGCCATCTTCCCACCCCCTATTTTTAACCAGTAGATTACCATTTCAAGATCAAATTCCTTATTCCTTACTTCATCAAGGCAAAATCAGGAAAATGAGGACTCGAACCTAGTGGTAAATTCCTTTGTTGTATCTAACTAAACTGTTCTGCCAATGCAATGACTTTTGGCTGTGCGATGGAATTTCTCTGCGCTCTCCTCCCCCTGTACAACCACTAAATCTGTTCCAGGGGTTCCCCCAACCCTCCAGAGCTGATGTAGAGGTCATGCATTAGGCACAGTGGGGAAGTTCAATTGTTCAGTTAAAAGTCCTTACAGTAGTGGAACTGTTTAGCTGGATACTACCTGACAGCACACTCCACTCATTGACAAAATGAATACATGATCCTCTCAGTTTGTTTTCATGTGATGGTGAGAGGCAAGTTAGTACTGCCCAAAGGAAGACAGGAAAAGAAACTGAGATTCAGCAGGGGAGAGACTTAAAAGCAAACACAACCACCTTTATCTCATTTCCTTCCTTCCAAACCGTCAAACCCAGACACCCAACACACTCAAGTTATAATTCTGATTTCTGAAATTAAATAGTTCTTAAGGCTTTGGTTTTCAGTTAAACACACACACACACATACATACGGAATGACATTACTCACTGCAATCCAGAATTTTCATCAACCAGTCCTTGTAACAGAACTTCTTTCGCTAGTTTAAACACTTCTGAAGAGTCCTCATCTGCTTGGCTTTCAGGATCCCTGAGGAAAGAGCAAGGAAAAACAGTTCAACTCTTCTACTGCCTTCTCACTAACACAAAAGGTTAGTGGAAAATCTGCAATACTTCACAGTATTCCATGATGGTCACAAGGATATATGCCCATAAGTTTCTCTATCAGTCTCTTAAGACAGCTTCAGAATTCTCAAATGTCAAGAGTTGGAATTTCCCCCCCACATCATGACTTCAATGTGTGGCACACTCATGCAACAGGCGACACAATTTAATGGAGGATTTCTTTTTAAAATACCTGTGGTTGAATTCTTACCTGTAGTTATCATATAGCCACATGAGAATGTCATACATTCTCCCCCGACATACTGGTGACGGGTGAGAGATGAAGCCGGTTACTGCAGGAAGAAGCTCTCGTACCTCAGCTGGTTTCAGGTTAGGTAGCATCTTGTATACTATATCCATACATATGGTTTGCCTTTCGTCGTCTCTAGGAGAGAAAAACAAAAACACATTTTTAAATTTGTCTATGATTTTAATTTTAAAAAGTGTTTTTCAACATATAGTGCATTTTTATTCACTTGAAAAAATGCAGTCAAACGGATTTTAAAAATAACTTCATTGTATCAACAATAAGTATGTATACAAAAAATGCAGCAAAGCTAGACTTTTGACTGAACATGCAAGGATTTTTCTCTGAAAAATGCCAACTGAAAAGTGATAACAGTGAAAAGCCTCCTCCTATCCTCAGCACCCAAAGGGAGAATGTGATTTTGAGCAACTCACATTTGCTCAAATAGGGCTTGTGCAGAAAATAGGGTTTGTGCAGAGTTCCTATAGAAATATGGATAATTATGCCCTTACTTACCTGTGATTCATGACTTGTGTAAAATCCTTACTCTTCAACTGTAAATACAGATCTGCTATTTCTTGGGCACGACACATTACTACCTCCAGGCAGTAAGTTTTCATCACCCCATGAAGTTTTGGTATCAGGAAGAAGACTGTATTCATAAACCTTTCCACGAACAAGAACCAAAAAGAACAGGAAGTTATAACACTGCTATGCTAACTGAACCTTTCTAGGGTATAGGACAATTGAGAGTTCTCAACTTACCTGTCAGCAAGAGAAGGGAAGTTCTTTGTCACTTTATTCAGACACACAATAAATTTGTCCTCTTTGGTATTCTGATGCTGCTTTAGCTGCTGTATGACCAAGTCATAAACCGGACCTTCAAATATCTGAAAAATTGAACATATCGTTAGGTACTTTCAAATGCCAAAACCTCAATATCCTGACCCAAAAAATAGTAATAATTACTAATTATGTGAGTAGTGAGAGGCCTCCTCAGTCATTTTTATAAGATTAGATAAATCTGTGAAAGCTAGCTCAGGCATAGGCAAACTCGGCCCTCCAGATGTTTTGGGACTACAACTCCCATCATCCTTAGCTAACAGGACCAGCGGTCAGGGATGATGGGATTTGTAGTCCCAATACATCTGGAGGGCTGAGTTTGCCTATGCCTGTGCTAGCTCTTTCAATACCACAGTAGGAATGAGACTTCTATCTCAGAGGCAGTAAACTGCTGCCTACCGGAGGTTGGGGAACAATCTGAGTATGGCAATCTTCACCCTAACTTCTAGCTAGCAGCTACTGGAGGCAGATTACTGGAATGGATGAGATCTAGTACGGCAGTTCCAATGTTTCATTAAAAGGGCAATACTTTCTCCCCTCTCAAAATGTTATACAATGGACATGTTACACCAGTGTTTCCCAACCGGTGTTCCGCGGCACACTAGTGTGCCGTGAGACCTTGCCTGGTGTGCCGTGGGAGGGAGGCGGGAGAGGCGGGGCGGCGGCGGCATCTCCTGCTGGATGCAAATCCAAACATGGCGGGCGCCTCCCTCGCTCCTTTGTAGGCGGACCATCGAGAGAGAAAGAAAAGGAGGCGAAAGAGCGAGAGAAGGCGCCTGCGCGGAAAGAGGAGCGAGCAGTGCGCCTGCGCGCTGCGGCGCCTGAGATCGCTTCTCCCCACCGCCCCTTGCTTCAAAAGAGGTCCGGGGACAGCGGGAAGCGCTTCGCGCTGCCCCCGGACCTCTTTTGAAGCAAGGGGCTGCGGGGAGATCGCTTCTCCCGGTGCTCCGAAGCGGGGCGGGAACACCTGCCCCAGCCGCCCCGCTTCGGAGCGCTGCTCCGAAGCGGGGCGGGGGGCGGGAACCTCGCACCCCGCCGCCGGGCATCGGAACGATGCCCCGATGCCGGGCGGTGGGGTGGGAACCTCGCACCCCGCCGCCGGGCATCGGAACGATGCCCCGATGCCGGGCGGTGGGGCGGGAACCTCTCCCCCCGCCGCCCGGCATCGGAACGATGCCCCGATGCCGGGCGGTGGGCGGGAACCTCGCACCCCGCCGCCGGGCATCGGAACGAGGTCCTGGACCTCTTCTGAAGGCAGGCGGGGGCAAAAGTCTTTGCTCCCCCCGCCTGCCTTCCCGGGACAGCGGAGACTTCTCCGCTGCCCGGGCGATCTTAAAATGCTGGTGGGCGGGAGCGAAGCGTTCGCTGCCGACCCCCAGCATTTTAAAATCTCCTCGGGGCAGCGGAGACTTCGCTCCCGCCCGCCAGCATTTTAAAATCGCCCCGGGACAGCAGGGGCTTTTAAAATGCTGGCGGTTGGCAGCAAAAGCCCTCCTGTCCCCGGAGCTTGCGGGGCGGGAGGTGGGAAGAAGGGCTTTTCTTCCCACCGCCAGCCTTCAGAACAGCCTTCTGAAGGCTGGCAGTGGGAAGAAAAGCCCTTGTTCCCCCCCCCCAGCCTTCAGAAGAGGTCGGGGGACAGACTGTCCCCGGACCTGGTCTGAAGGCGGTTTCCCTAGGAACGCATTAATTGATTTTCAATGCATTCCTATGGGAAAT